ATCCGATTAGCTCGAGCAGAACACTTAAAAGTGGGGTAGTAAACACAAAACCAACTAAACTTATTATTATTATAATTACCATTATTGTGTTAAAATATGTGTGTGTGTCTAAGAACCAGACACAATCATGTAAGAAGGAGCCAATCAGCTTCCAATGTATTTATATCAAGAGCTGATTGGCTCCTTTTTACTTGATAGGGACGACCTTATTAAAGGTATATAGGACGATTGGATCATCAAGACTATTGGTCTTCCCAGTTGTCAATCATTCTGGTGATAAGTGCTTGTGAATGAAACCAGGAAGTTTAGTTCAAAAATGGAGAGGGCAGTTCTTCCCTAAAATGTGGGAAAATCCTCCTTTATGCCTTTAAGATGAAAGCTGCAGTTGTATCGTCTAAGATTGTAAAAAAAACATGTTACTTTGACAAGACTCTTTCAGTTTTGGAGAAAAGCCACAAACCCATGTGCTTTTCCTGCTGCAACTTCACACTAATCTTTAAAAACACTGCATTAATCCCTGATGGTGACTAAGTATTACCTTTCTCTTCATTCCTAAAAGCTTTTCTCTCCGTGCTCCGGTGCCTCTTTCTGTTCTTTCTCTTGCAGATGTGTTTGCAAGGACTCACTGAAAAGCTGAAATGCGCTTTTCTCGTTTCCGCTCGTCCTTCAGGCTCTGTGCGGTAAAACTCTGTCACTAAAATGTTGTTGTAGAAAAGATAAAGAGGTTTTCCAGCATTTACGACGGAGACAAGCAGCGGCTGAATTTTGGCCTTGTCGTTTTAATCACTGCTGCAGGTCGCTCCGAGCCACAAGCTTCATATGATGTCCCAGAGAAAAGAACGGAAAGGCTTCTAACCCGCAAATACACACTTAAAAAACAATGTTTACAAAGCACTGCACAGTCATGATAATACAAAGTCAAAATATTTAGATTTAAAGTCCCAATATGTAAGATTTTCATGTTGAGTCATCATTAAAGGGCCCTAATCTGTCATCATTAAAGGGCCCTAATCTGTTTTCATTAAAGGGACCTAATCTGTCATTAAAGGGCCCTAATCTGACATAATTTAAGAGCCCTAATCTGTCATCATTAAAGGGGCCTAATCTGTCATCATTAAAGGGCCCTAATCTGTCATCATTAAACGGGTCTAATCTGTCATCATTAAAGGGCCCTAATCTGTCTCTGTCATCATTAAAGGGCCCTAATCTGTCATCATTAAAGGGCCCTAATCTGTTATCATTAAAGGGACCTAATCTGTCATTAAAGGGCCCTAATCTGTCATAATTTAAGAGCCCTAATCTGTCATCATTACAGGGCCCTAATCTGTCATCATTAAAGGGGCCTAATCTGTCATCATTAAAGGGCCCTAATCTGTAATAATTAAAGGGGCCTAATCTGTCATCATTAAAGGGCCCTAATCTGTCATCATTAAAGGGCCCTAATCTGTCATCATTAAAGGGCCCTAATCTGTCATCATTAAAGGGGCCTAATCTGTCATCATTAAAGGGCCCTAATCTGTCATCATTAAAGGGACCTAATCCATCATCATTAAAGGGCCCTAATCTGTCATAATTAAAGGGGCCTAATCTGTCATCATTAAAGGGGCCTAATCTGTCATCATTAAAGGGCCCTAATCTGTCATCATTAAAGGGCCCTAATCTGTCATCATTAAAGGGACCTAATCCGTCATCATTAAAGAGCCCTAATCTGTCATCATTAAAGGGCTCTAATCTGTCATCATTAAAGGGCCCTAATCTGTCATCATTAAAGGGCCCTAATCTGTCATCATTAACTCATTCACTGCCCATGACGACAAAAGTCGTCATGTTTAATAGTAACGCTCACTGCCCATGACGAGTTTGACGAGTTTTTCATGTTATTACACGGGAGGCTACAGTAATGTCTCGCGCACCTTGTGAATGACCCACAACACTGATATATAGTGCAAATGTACCTGTGATGATAAATCAACACCAGTAGGATGCAGTATTGCGCCACAGGAGAGGTCATAAGTCAGTGGAGAGAAGGAGGAGGAGTGTGGGAGTGTTTGGAGAGCGTGCTGCTGTAGCAGAGCGTGCTGCTGTAGCAGAGCGTGCGATGATAGCGTAGCATTGAGACGGATCAGCGATCTAGTTTAGCGATAGTATAGCAAGAGTGATGGCGAAAAAGAATAGTTATAAGCAGTGTACACTGCTTCAGAGATTGACTCGCGGATCAGTGAGTGAGGTCGAGAGGGGAGAGAGTGGAGACTATGGCGCCAGATTTACGCCAAAAGTCCACACGCTCAAATAACACATACACGCGCAGCTTTATTTAATTCACACGCGCGCAAACTACTCTCCACGCGCACATTTCACACCACACGCGCGCAGACTCAGTACCACGAGCCACAATACGCGCGTGTGTGCGCTCGTGACCTGCCCTCTTCCTTCTCGTGGTCTGTGTTCTGCGCGCGTTGAACACTTTTGCCATCTCTTCTACGCGCGCGTGAAATACTTTTGTCGCTTGGGGGCGGGGCCAGTGAAAGGTAAACAGCCCACTGCAGCTTGGAGATGAAATGCTTATGCATGGAAAGCATATGATTAATCCATAGACTGTATATCTTTTTTATAACCCTAACTGGGCTGGCTATTGTAGTCTTTAACGTGGTATGTACACTGTTGTGGACACCCTATAGGCTTACACCAGGACATGTTTAGTTCGTAAATGTTTAATATTCTCTCTCATCAGCCTATGTTGCCGCAAGGCTAGCCAGGTACATCCCGGGACCTTTGTGATCGCTGTACGTTGTTTACACTGAATGCTTTGTCAGAATCATGTCAGGACCGTTATCAAAGTTTAATAAAACTGTCTCTGAGTTATTTGTTTGCTTTTTATTTGCATAATTATAGGGGGTTGACCTAATGAGTCTATGCTAACTAGCAATAAATCTGTGAGTCCATAAACCCAAATATCAAAAATGTGTATACAAAGTTTTGAAACAAATGAGCTATCTGAATTGTTAACATTGCTAAATAGTAGTAAACTTCATTTGATTTCATGTATTTTTATTAAAATGAACTTAAAATTGGGGCTAAGCTGTTTCAACCTGTCATAATTGGCTTCTGTACCTGTATTGTGTTTGCTAGTTTAGGATGGCTATCATCTCTACACACTACACAGAACCCCTGAATAGTTCTGATCGTGCAGGTTATCTTCATAAATTGGTCCTCTGCGATGGGCACCAGTTCCTGATCCACACACACTGCAGACCGGCAAGATGTAAAACATCATTTGGTCAGACTTCGTTTGCAGTCGAAGAGCCACAGCTCTGGAACATTTTACCTGCTGAACTGAAATCTCTAATATTTTTATGCCTTAGCGACTGCCAATTATCTGTTTGCTATACGGCCTATGAACATGGCATTGGTTACCTGTAACAATACTTTTTGTTCTGTGCCTGTCAAATAAACATGTAATAATAATACTATTCTCACAGAACAGTGGGTTGTAGATAGGAGAAAATGGCCATCAGTTACCTGGCCTAATATCTATAATTACCTCACTCAGGCCCCCAGTGTCTATACAAAAGAGAACCTAAATCATATAAATCTATCGATGCAGACAATTATGTGTTATGTAAAGAATGTGAAATACTTTGACTCTGGTACTGAGTTCCGTGTTTTGAGGCAGATGTGCTCCCCAGTCAGAGAGTGGGCATTAAGTCAAAGCCTTATGATGCCTGGGAGTAACTATGGCCACAAAGACTTGGGGTACATCCTTACCCCAAACTGTTCTTGTATGGCAGGAAATGGACTTGTAACGGGTGTGGGCACCGTTGTAACTTGTTTTTATTGTTCAATTACAGTCTTGACCTGGTGCACACCTGTTAACCCCTTTATTAGTGTAATCTGCGTTGTGTTCCATGTTCTGCGCTGTCTGAAGAAGGACCACGACACAAGGAGGATCACTGGATGACTTTTACTAGTAGTTATGCACAAAATAAAAGAAAACATAAATCCACATCACGTCTCTCCATGCATTCAGCTCAGCAGTCCTCTCCACAGATGCAAGGCACAGACTATGGTTCTCCTGATAAAGGAAAAAAGCAACATTAGCTCAAGTTATTATTGCCTTTTTAGTGGTATACAGGTTGATCACTTTTGTTCTCCAGTTGTTGTAATCAAGGAAAAACACCACACACTTTGTGGTTTTAGAGCTGAATACTTTAGCACTAAAGTATTTATGTGCTTTTGTTGTGACTAGAAGGCTACACAGGCTAAATCATGAACAGCTGTTTCTCCTCAGACTAAAACGAAGGAGCCTCCTTAGCTAACTTAGCAAAACAGCTAAAATGCTAACTGCCGGTTAGCATTTTAGCTGTTTGAGCTTGCTTTAACTTGACTGATCATGATAACTACATCTAGCGACATCATGTAACCTAGTGATTACTTATGGATTGGACTTTTTGATTATTAGATAATGTAGGACACAAACACAAAGTCTGCTCCAGTGTTCTTCCTTCTTTAGCCACTCAGCTATGCACACAACTTGCCTGTGACGTCGCCCAGAAAGAAACCCAGTGTTTACCTTTCACTGGCCCCGCCCCCAAGCGACAAAAGTATTTCACGCGCGCGTAGAAGAGATGGCAAAAGTGTTCAACGCGCGCAGAACAAAGACCACGAGAAGGGAGAGGGCAGGTCACGAGCGCACACACGCGCGTATTGTGGCTCGTGGTACTGAGTCTGCGCGCGTGTGGTGTGAAATGTGCGCGTGGAGAGTAGTTTGCGCGCGTGTGAATTAAATAAAGCTGCGCGTGTATGTGTTATTTGAGCGTGTGGACTTTTGGCGTAAATCTGGCGCCATAGGAGACCCCGGTGGAGGTCCGTCTCTGCAGCCAGCAAGAGCCCAGAGCAGGGACACACCTTCCGCCTCTCGCAGCGTATCAGCTGCTGTTGTTACTGATGCCTCGGATTCGTTCAGAGAACCTGATCATGATTTATCGGATGAGTGGTTGCAGTCTCAAACCAGCAGAGCATCCTCTCCAGAAGCTCCACAAAGAGTCGAAGGTAAGAACTTGCTAAATTGCCTAGAATATGCTTACTTGAGAGGAGGGAAAGGCGCGGAAACTTGCTTTGATCTGCAGAGTAACACAACGCTCAAATCCTACTGTTTCTTTAGTAAATGCCAGTTATGTGTTTTATCATTGTTGTATTTATTATTTTTATGTTTAGTTATTTCATACTTGAACATCTTGTTGCAGTGACATAGCTCTGACTAAATGAAATGTGTTCATTCACAGATTCTGATAAAAGAGCCCTCCCCCATTGGGGTTGACAGGGCATGGAGGTAAAGATAATGCCTCCTCATACCATTGTACATATTATTGTATATATTCTACTGGTATAGTGATTTACAAATTTATATTATTTACAGGTGGTGCATCAAGAGGCAGTTGCTGTGCACAAAAAAGGTAAAAGAACTACTATTTCTATTCTGTACATCCCATGGCAATATAATATAATAATAATAATAATATAGTATACTGTACGGTACGGTGGCTGAGTGGATAGCACTCTCGCCTCTCAGCAAGAAGGTCCTGGGTTCGAATCCCGGTCGGACCAGGGCCTTTCTGAGTGGAGTTTGCATGTTCTCCCCGTGTCTGCGTAGGTTTCCTCCGGGTACTCCGGTTTCCCCTACCACTAAAAAAATATGTCCAATAGTTCTGGCATGCGCTTCCTGTACTGGCGACCCCGCTCCCATCTCTGTGTGGAGTGAGATACAAATGCCCAAAATTAACAATTGTAAACCGCTTTGAGACTCAGATCTGCAGTGAAAAGGCGGTATATAAATAAAAACTTACTTACTTACTTACTTACTGTGTTTGGTCCAAAAGTAGTCAGTCAATAATGTGGGAGGAAGGCCTTCATTGTATTTTATGTATTGATTATTGTAACAAATTCACTGTATAATATAGTTATTGTGTGTATCCAATTTCCAGCACGTTCGTCACCCAGAAGCTCTGGGGAAGATGGCTGACAGGAGGATCAGTGGGAGCCGAGTCAGTCCCTTCACAGGAGCTCCTGGACCTCAGAGACTGCAGACAGAGGCTGCGAAGCTGGATTCATCTGATCCAGACTTTCTGGAGCTGGATTCATCTGATCCAGACTTTCTGGAGCTGGATTCATCTGATCCAGACTTTCTGGAGCTGGATTCATCTGATCCAGACTTTCTGGAGCTGGATTCATCTGATCCAGACTTTCTGGAGCTCTTCTTCACGGAGGGAGAACTACAAATGTCACATCGTGTCGTGTTCCGTTGCACACAGTGTTTCAACCTCTACAACTCAAAGCTGAACTACTGGGAGGACTGAAAAAGCAGATAAACTCACTCATACACACACTCACGAACACTCACACGAACACACACACGCACTCACTCACTCACGCGCACACAGACACACACACAGACACTCACGCACACAGACACTCACTCGCACACTGACATTCAAACACACACACTCAAATTCACATGCTTCATTCTATTTTATACATCTATAGTTTTATTGATCTTTGTGTTGTTGTTGTTTGACGTTTTGGTTGATGGTATAGAAGAAAGTTAAATTTTCTATCTGTGAATAAATTGCCAACAATTTGCCATCAAAAGTATTATTTCAGAGTCATGTTTTTATAATTTTTGTAATGAAACAAGTGTGAAGATGTTTTGAGTTGTCACTAAAGCAGCAAAAATGCATCTAAAGTCTCTTTTCTGCTTGATATGTTCCTGTTTACATACAGCTCGTTTTCTGTTTTCTTGCTCAGACCAGGTGTTGTGGGTGAAAGTATGCTTTGTTCTATGGCGAATAGCTCAAGAACAGTAAGGGGTAGAAACAAACTGTTATTTTCAGAGTAAAGCAGAGAGGTTAATCTTTAATTTGGTGCCCTTGGTGTTTACATCGTCTAAAAAATGAATATTCTGTGGCACTTCAAAGTTGGGTGAAATCACCTGAAATTGCTGGCAGAACGCACTTCTCAAATCTGAAAATGCCTGGCAGTCAGTGAGTTAAAGGGTCCTAATCTGTCATCATAAAAGGGCCCTAATCTGTCATCAGTAAAGGGCCCTAATTTGTCATCATTAAAAGGACCTACTTTCAATGCGGAGCTCACACCAGGTCACTACATATGTACACTGTTTAAATCATTTACACACAGACACATAGAGCCATTTCTGTCCACGCTCCCCGGCTTTGGAACCACCTGCCCGAGGTATGAAAGCGCCTCACTTGCGTTACCTCGCCTCTCCTCTATCCAACGTCACACCTGCTGTTCGGGGCTCGGAGCGAAGCAGGCTAAATTTGGGAAGTAGTTCTGGGTCGATGGTCAGTGCGCAGACGTGCCTCTGCGGAATCAGGACAACCTGAACAAGGACCAATGTACAGGACGGGAAGTGTTGCTCTATTGAAAATGAAACTTCTTTCGCCAAACTTCCTGTCCAGTCAATTTAAACGTACCTTTGTGCCTTAGATCAGAGAACAAATTAGGAACATTTTTGGGTCTCATATGCCCTGGCGTTGCTGGTTAAATGTCCGCTCCATAATTCCAAATACGAGTACATTAAGGGCGACAGTAGCTCAGTTGGTAGAGCACTGGCCTTTGAGCCTGAAGGTTGAGGGTTCAAGCCCACCACAGGACCTCGACCTTCTCCACCGACTCCCACTGATGACTACTGTCGTTGTGTCCTTGGGCAAGACACTTAACCCTGCATTGCCTGAAGCCCCCGCTGAAAAATCAAGGCTGTGTTGTCACTGACAGAGCAGCCGTCCTCCTGTGGACTCACCACCTGCAGAGGACCAGTGAGGGGCTGGTGCTATGAGCATGGGGTGCAGCTCTGACTGCCACCCCCCTGACCCAGAAATGGATTAAAGGGAAGAAGATGGATGAATGGATGGATGGAGTACGTTTTTAAAATTTGATGTGGTGTAGAAAGGCCCAACCATCGCATTGCATCAGTCACAAGCTTCTTTGGTTCTATCTTGACTCGCAATGTCCCTGTCAAGTATCTGAATGAATACAAAATTAATATCACCTTTCGCCCGGAGCCTCCCCCGAGTGAAGACCCAAAGCAGCGTTTGTTTGATTTGGGCCGTCATAATCTTGCGGCTCTTTAAAGTGGCATCGTGTGTGTCTCTGTTAAAAGAGTTAGTTAGCTAAAAATGTCACGGTTGTCATTTTTTTGGTTTGTTTATTTTTGTATTCTGTGTTCTCCTGTGTCTGAGTTTTACTTCTTGTTCTGTGGATTGCCTGCCCCGCCCTGATGTGTACCTGTGTCTGCCAGTTAAAGTCCCTGTGCTCTTCCTCTCTTGTTGTGCGTCCATTGTGTGTTTGTTCTATGGTTCTTGTCTGCGTCCTCAGTTCCCGCGTCCTTCTTTGCTGGAGGATGGCTCGATCTCCAGAGAGACACAGGTACATATAGACACAGAGACACAGGTACATACAGACACAGAGACACAGGTACATATAGACACAGAGACACAGGTACATATAGACACAGAGACACAGGTACATACAGACACAGAGACACAGGTACATATAGACACAGAGACACAGGTACATATAGACACAGAGACACAGGTACATATAGACACAGAGACACAGGTACATACAGACACAGAGACACAGGTACATATAGACACAGAGACACAGGTACATATAGACACAGAGACACAGGTACATATAGACACAGAGACACAGGTACATATAGACACGGAGACACAGGTACATATAGACACAGAGAGACACAGGTACATATAGACACAGAGAGACACAGGTACATATAGACACAGGTAGACAGAATGTGTCTGTTTTGAGGTTAGCTTACAACAGATGTCCTTGTTTTTGCTAACTCCAGCTGTGAACGAAGCCAGAAAGTTCATAGTTCATTCATTCAATTGAACAGAACTCTAACACCTTTGTAGCGGGTTATAAAGAAGTGAGTTTGATGACCCTGTAACTGAGAGAACACAGCTGTTATTCCAAACAATGACTGATGAAGATTGTCCTGAGTCTGATCATCTGCTTTTGAGATGAACAGATAACTCTCCTCATTATCTCAATGTCTTTTCATCTCACTGAAGTCGCTCACATTCAACAGTCTTCCATTTTTCAATTTTCACTAGTTAGCCTTAGATACTCTCTAATGCAGAATAAAATAACATATACAGCACATGTTAGCATCATGTGATACTACTATACATGTTAGCATGTGATACGACTGTATATGTTAGCATCATGTTTCATTTCATTTCATTTACATCCCTTTATTTTCCATTTCTGGGTCAGGGGGTAGCAATCAGAACTGCCACCCAATTCACACAGCACCAGTCCCTTGCTGATCTTCCTGCAGGTGGTGGGTCCACGGGAAGATGGCTGCTCCTTCGACACAGATGCAGCCTTGGTCTTTCAGCGGGGACTACAGGCACATTGGGGTTAAGTGTCTTGCCCGGAGACACAACAGGGGGACAGGACACATCAGTGGGAGCAGTTGACATGGGTCATGGTGGGATTGAACCCACGACCATTAGGTCCAAAGACCATTGCTCTACCAACTGAGCTACTGTCGCACAGCATCATGTGACACTTCAAAATCCCTACAAAGTCAAATCCAAGCACCAAACCTTGGGGGACCGAGCTTTCGCCATCTCTGCTCCCACTCTCTGGAACTCTCTCCACCCTCACCTCTGGAACTCTCTCCACCCTCACCTCTGGAACTCTCTCCACCCTCACCTCTGGAACTCTCTCCACCCTCACCTCTGGAACTCTCTCCACCCTCACCTCTGGAACTCTCTCCCCCTCACCTCTGGAACTCTCTCCACCCTCACCTCTGGAACTCTCTCCACCCTCACCTCTGGAACTCCCTCCACCCTCACCTCTGGAACTCTCTCCACCCTCACCTCTGGAACTCTCTCCACCCTCACCTCTGGAACTCCCTCCACCCTCACCTCTGGAACTCCCTCCACCCTCACCTCTGGAACTCCCTCCACCCTCACCTCTGGAACTCTCTCCACCCTCACCTCTGGAACTCTCTCCACCCTCACCTCTGGAACTCTCTCCACCCTCACCTCTGGAACTCTCTCCACCCTCACCTCTGGAACTCTCTCCCCCTCACATCTGAAACTCTCTCCCCCTCACATCTGGAACTCTCTCCCCCTCACCTCTGGAACTCTCTCCACCCTCACCTCTGGAACTCTCTCCACCCTCACCTCTGGAACTCTCTCCACCCTCACCTCTGGAACTCCCTCCACCCTCACCTCTGGAACTCCCTCCACCCTCACCTCTGGAACTCTCTCCCCCTCACCTCTGGAACTCTCTCCACCCTCACCTCTGGAACTCTCTCCACCCTCACCTCTGGAACTCTCTCCACCCTCACCTCTGGAACTCTCTCCACCCTCACCTCTGGAACTCTCTCACCTCTGGAACTCTCTCACCCTCACCTCTGGAACTCTCTCCACCCTCACCTCTGGAACTCCCTCCACCCTCACCTCTGGAACTCTCTCCACCCTCACCTCTGGAACTCTCTCCACCCTCACCTCTGGAACTCCCTCCACCCTCACCTCTGGAACTCCCTCCACCCTCACCTCTGGAACTCCCTCCACCCTCACCTCTGGAACTCTCTCCACCCTCACCTCTGGAACTCTCTCCACCCTCACCTCTGGAACTCTCTCCACCCTCACCTCTGGAACTCTCTCCACCCTCACCTCTGGAACTCTCTCCACCCTCACCTCTGGAACTCTCTCCCCCTCACATCTGGAACTCTCTCCCCCTCACCTCTGGAACTCTCTCCCCCTCACCTCTGGAACTCTCTCCACCCTCACCTCTGGAACTCTCTCCACCCTCACCTCTGGAACTCTCTCCACCCTCACCTCTGGAACTCCCTCCACCCTCACCTCTGGAACTCCCTCCACCCTCACCTCTGGAACTCTCTCCCCCTCACCTCTGGAACTCTCTCCACCCTCACCTCTGGAACTCTCTCCACCCTCACCTCTGGAACTCTCTCCACCCTCACCTCTGGAACTCCCTCCACCCTCACCTCTGGAACTCTCTCCTCCCTCACCTCTGGAACTCCCTCCACCCTCACCTCTGGAACTCTCTCCACCCTCACCTCTGGAACTCTCTCCACCCTCACCTCTGGAACTCTCTCCACCCTCACCTCTGGAACTCTCTCCCCCTCACCTCTGGAACTCTCTCCACCCTCACCTCTGGAACTCTCTCCACCCTCACCTCTGGAACTCTCTCCCCCTCACCTCTGGAACTCTCTCCACCCTCACCTCTGGAACTCCCTCCACCCTCACCTCTGGAACTCTCTCCTCCCTCACCTCTGGAACTCTCTCCCCCTCACCTCTGGAACTCTCTCCACCCTCACCTCTGGAACTCCCTCCACCCTCACCTCTGGAACTCTCTCCTCCCTCACCTCTGGAACTCCCTCCACCCTCACCTCTGGAACTCCCTCCACCCTCACCTCTGGAACTCTCTCCACCCTCACCTCTGGAACTCTCTCCACCCTCACCTCTGGAACTCTCTCCCCCTCACCTCTGGAACTCTCTCCACCCTCACCTCTGGAACTCTCTCCACCCTCACCTCTGGAACTCTCTCCACCCTCACCTCTGGAACTCTCTCCCCCTCACCTCTGGAACTCTCTCCACCCTCACCTTTGGAACTCTCTCCACCCTCACCTCTGGAACTCTCTCCACCCTCACCTCTGGAACTCTCTCCACCCTCACCTCTGGAACTCTCTCCACCCTCACCTCTGGAACTCTCTCCACCCTCACATCTCGAACTCTCTCCCCCTCACCTCTGGAACTCTCTCCACCCTCACCTCTGGAACTCTCTCCACCCTCACCTCTGGAACTCTCTCCACCCTCACCTCTGGAACTCTCTCCACCCTCACCTCTGGAACTCTCTCCACCCTCACCTCTGGAACTCTCTCCACCCTCACCTCTGGAACTCTCTCCACCCTCACCTCTGGAACTCTCTCCACCCTCACCTCTGGAACTCTCTCCACCCTCACCTCTGGAACTCTCTCCCCCCTCACCTCTGGAACTCTCTCCACCCTCACCTCTGGAACTCTCTCCACCCTCACCTCTGGAACTCTCTCCACCCTCACCTCTGGAACTCTCTCCCCCTCACCTCTGGAACTCTCTCCACCCTCACCTCTGGAACTCTCTCCACCCTCACCTCTGGAACACTCTCCACCCTCACCTCTGGAACTCTCTCCACCCTCACCTCTGGAACTCTCTCCACCCTCACCTCTGGAACTCTCTCCCCCCTCACCTCTGGAACTCTCTCCACCCTCACCTCTGGAACTCTCTCCACCCTCACCTCTGGAACTCTCTCCACCCTCACCTCTGGAACTCTCTCCACCCTCACCTCTGGAACTCTCTCCACCCTCACCTCTGGAACTCTCTCCCCCTCACCTCTGGAACTCTCTCCACCCTCACCTCTGGAACTCTCTCCCCCTCACCTCTGGAACTCTCTCCACCCTCACCTCTGGAACTCTCTCCACCCTCACCTCTGGAACTCTCTCCACCCTCACCTCTGGAACTCTCTCCTCCCTCACCTCTGGAACTCTCTCCACTCTCACCTCTGGAACTCTCTCCACCCTCACCTCTGGAACTCTCTCCACCCTCACCTCTGGAACTCTCTCCACCCTCACATCTGGAACTCTCTCCACCCTCACCTCTGGAACTCTCTCCACCCTCACCTCTGGAACTCTCTCCACCCTCACCTCTGGAACTCTCTCCACCCTCACCTCTGGAACTCTCTCCACCCTCACCTCTGGAACTCTCTCCACCCTCACCTCTGGAACTCTCTCCCCCCTCACCTCTGGAACTCTCTCCACCCTCACCTCTGGAACTCTCTCCACCCTCACCTTTGGAACTCTCTCCACCCTCACCTCAGAAACACTAAACTCCTTCAAAAAACCGTTAAAAACTCATCTCTTCCTCCAAGCATACGACTCCTAGTTGTAGCTTTGTACTCTTCTTTCCTGCTTTTAGTTTTCTAGTTTTGTGTGTCTGCCTGAATATGTGTGAGCTATATAAAACCAATGTATTATTATTATTATTATTAGCATGTGATACTGCTGTACATGTTAGCATCATGTGGGTTTGGGCTAAAAGTGGTAAAGTGAAGTGACAGTGGACACATGTGGTCCCATATTTTACATCCTAACTTTATTTAAAGTTCTCGCACAGATACATGACACTTCCTGAATCTGTTTTTGAGATAAACAGATAACTTTCTTCATCACCTCGCTGCATTTCCATCTCACCGCAGTCGCACAAATTTGACAATGTTCCACCTTTTTTTCCATTTCTCCCGCATTAACCTTAAACGCTTCCTGACGCACACGCTAATCAGCCTCCGCCGCTAACTCCAACCTCCTCAAATCACCCGAGCTAATTTCGCACCGCTCCCAAATATGAAAGCGATCAATATTGCGCCATTAGCCTGTCGCGGGCCCAGGCGTCTTGTAAACATTCTAAATCAATGGCCATGTTAATATTCCGTAGTATTTGTGCGTTTGTTCCAGTTAACGACGCAATTAATCCTTGCGGCGGACTTGTTTTGTTGCTGTAGCCGAGCGTGATAAGCGCTCGTCACCGTTTGGGCTTTTAATAAACGCCGGGCACATGATGAATGACTTTAATTCGGTAAAGTCGCGCGGCGTAATGGGGGACGGAGGGGGAAGCAGCTCGGGGAGAATAGAACGGTCACGCCGGGCTTCATCGAGCGTTCTAATGCACATCTGTACAATTAGATTAGGGCCACTGACACGGAGGCTCCTGACGGGTCTGGGGGGGAGGGGGTGAGGGTGAGGGGGAGTTTGTACAGTCGCAAGAAAGAGGGTGAGTTACTTTTATACATGTAGTTGAAGAAGTAGAAGAAGAATGATCTGAATAACAAACATTTTAAAGTTCAATTCAGTCTATTTTTATGTATAGCCTTAAATCACAACAGGGGTTAATCTTGGAGGACTCAGGACAGATGAGCTATGTCCATTAATGTTAATAAACGTCCATAGATAATAATAATAATAAAAAAAAAATTTGTGGTGCCTTTCCGGTCACTCAGTGTGGCCTTACACATGGTACAAAGTTAAAAGCAGAAACAGGAGTCAGTCTGAATAGATGTATTTTGAGCGCGGTATGGAAGTTTGGGAGAGGGTTAGTATTGCGGAGGTCAGGGGGAAGGAGGTTCCAGAGCTGGGCAGGAGGCACCATGAGCTGGAAGTAGGAGGAGGCAGGAGGCAACTGGAGGAAGGAGGAGGATGAAGCAGGAGCTGGAGAGATGAGGATGAGGCAGGAGCTGGAGGGAGGAGGAGGCACAAAGAAGAGGAGGGAGGGGGCACCAGGAGCTGAAGGGAGGAGGATGAGACATGAGACAGGAGAAGGAGGAGGAGGCACCAGGAGCTGAAGGGAGGAGGATGAGGCAGGAGGCACCATGAAGAGAAGAGAAGGGAGGAGGAGGCAGGAGGCAACTGGAACTGGAGGAAGGATGAGGCAGGGGCTGGAGGGAGGAGGATGAGACATGAGAAGGAGGGAGGAGGAGGCACCAAGAAGAGGAGGAGGAGAATGAGGGAGGATGATGAGGCAGGAGGAGGAGGATGAAGATGGTCCCTAAAAGGATGTGCAGCATTGATGGTAACATTTTAACCCAACGCATTAGAATTAAACATGTTTAACTTTATATTTGGTCCAGTTTTGGTCAAATCTAAACCATAAACAAATTTTGTTTTCAGGAAAATCAACCACAAAATAATGTGTAAGTCAAAAATACCGTCATGAAGAAAAAATCAATTATAAGAAAATGAAAAATGAAATTCCATTCTTCTATTCTTTCGACCCTGGACCAAAATGAGTCCGACACCTCTGCTTTATGAGCTGAATCCAACCGTGCGTGGTCCTGTCCGCTCTTCCACAGCCTCTTTGCCTCCGTTTGGGCCGTGGGTCTGTTTCGTCGCTGATCCGGGTTAACGGGTGGTTTAGGGTCGACTCGCGGAGCTCCGTCAGGCCTCAGTGAGCGGCTCGTTTAACCCAGGGACGGTGCACTGGTCTGGGGGTGAAGGAGAGGCGAGCCGGGCCGTTAGCTCCGGAGGTCATTTGTCAAACACACAGAGCCGTCCCATTGGTGCAAACACAAACAGAGGGACACTGGATTATAAAAGTTAATGGATGTTAGCAACCATTCCTGGGATTTTATATTTTTATCTCTCTTTTTAATGTACTGTGATTATTTATGTATTTATTTTTAGTCTATTTTAATGCTATTCATCTCCTACATGTACGTCTGGGTCTTATCATGTGTATTTATTTATTTATTTATTTATTACTGGGACAGTGCATATTAATGAACATTTCTGTAAATATGCCAGAATTAGCCAAACGGCTATTTTTCATTCATAGTCCCATGTCTCCTGAAAAGATAAAAACATGTTTGCTACACAGTTAAAATAATGTGAGATATTTACAATATTTACAAGGACAAGACAGTAAAACATTCAGTCACACGTCGTTCAACAAACTACTGTACAATACACAATCACATGGAGACATAGAACACACACAGGCGCACACAGAGCATGCGGCCAGCAGGGGGCAGCGAGAGCGGGCGGAGTCAGTGCTGACAGGTGTGATTATCAATGAGCCAGTGTTTTAACTGTGTTCTGTATGTGAGGTAAGAGGGTGCATTCCTGATAGGGTAGGAGGTTCCAATCTGAGGTGGCACGGACGGAGAATTGAAGAATGACCAAATGTGCTTTTCCTGAGGGGGGTGATACAGTCCCCTCTCGCTGCCCCCCTGGTCCTGGTGTGGGTGCTGTTTCTGGTATTGATGAACTGACTGAGAGGTGGGGATGAAAGACCATGAAGGATTTTATAGACCAGACAGGGATTGGAGAACTTGACCATGTTATCGAGAGTGAGAAGTTTGTGTTTGTGTTTATGGGACAGTGGTCAGAGCGATGGGGTTTCTTTTCCAGGGTTTTTACCGTCCGTTTGTAGAGTGAGTGCAGGGGTTTCAGGGCTGTGGTGTTTGCTAGGGACCAGGGGGAGACAGTATGTGATGTGGGACAGAATCATGGAGTGCATAAACATTTTGGCTGCTGGAGTAGACATTTGGTGGCGGATGTGTTTGAAGTTGCAGAGGTTGTATTTAATTTTATTGCATGTTTTTTTAATGTGAGCTTTGAATGAAAGGTGTGAGTCAAATATTATTCCAAGGTATTTGTATTCTGTGATGATCTGTAGCCTGTTGCCTGAAACTAAAACATCTGGATCTGTGCATGGGAGAGACTTGTAAGATTTGGAGAAGAACATTGCAACTGTTTTGGATGCGTTAAGTTTGAGAAAGGAGTGATTGAGCCAACAAAATCTGGTCCATGATCATTTCCTACATGTATGTCTGGGTCTGATCCTAGTGGCTTTAGTTTCCTCGGTTGAATACCCTCCGACCAATCAGAGAGCGGGGGAGGCGGGTGTTGTAGTTTGGTGTCGGTGACGTCAAGAGCCAGAACAAGAGGAAGGTTTAGCAAACGGCATTGCCGCAAAGATGTTGTGGCTCTACTCCCCACGGGCTCCGTTAGTGTTTTTGAGGATTTTTTTTGTTTGTGTCGATGGATGTGTTTTTGCTGCTACTGGACACCTGAATTTCTCCTATGGGGATCAATAAAGTATCCATCTATCTATCTATCTAGTGGCAAAGGAGACGGCTAAAGCTAGGCTAAATGCTAAATGCCTCACACACTCGGGCTCATTACATACGTCACGATAAACTCAGATCCAATCGTTTCAATCTGCAAAAGGAGTTGGCCCCTCCCACCTGTTCACGGAGTCAATGGAGAAAATCCAGACCTTAGTATGAAATGAAAATGTTACGATGGTGTGGTAAGGCCAGGCTAGGACAGAAGGGGTGGAGCGACATGTTTGTACCAACTTCAACCCTCACCGTGATAGTTCTTGATGTGAGGATGTGGTCAAAAACCTCAAAACAAAAGATTTGGCTCAACGTCTGTACATCAACATCCACTTCACAACGGCAACTGCTCCATTTCTATTCCGGTCTCTCCGACTCCCAAACGCAAATCTCCGGCCCCTTGACCTAACGACAATATTCCTGCCAACGAGGAAAGTTTGGGAAAAGCTGGCGGAGCGAGGCCTGTCAGCGAAGTCCGAGCCGAGCAAAGCTGTCACGTCTGCGCCGCTCCTTCACAGCGGAGACGGCTAATTTGACCCCAGAGAGCGGACCGCGCATTGATTTTAACTGCTCTAAATGAAGTCTAGAGGGGACCGAGGAGGCAGCCTTCTCCTGGGGCCCTTTTGGAGCCGCTCTGTCAGAAGCAGATTGACAAAAGAGAGGGAGGTGTCGGAGATATGGATCTGCAGATGGAGAGGAGTTTGGAAAGAATAAAGAAAACCGGTTTGAAGTCATGGGAGAGATGCCTGAAAGAGTCTGTGTGGAAGGAGCGGGGTTTGAGGTTGGTAAATGAAAGGAAAACATCAGAGTACCGTATTTTCCCGACTATAAACTGCACCGGATTATAAACTAAGCTCTAATTTGTACAAACCGCACTGGATTAAAAACCGCACCTGTCTCATTTTGTAATATTGAAAAATGTAGCTCAAAATTGATACAGTGTTAACCCTAGGGTCATTTTGGGGAACTTGCTTCACCTGGTTTTCTTTTTGTAAAATTGCTCATAAAACAGTCATTTTTTGATGCAGAGTCAAGCAGTATACTTTGTTTTTTTCAGAACAACCTGGGGTTTGAGAATATTTATATTGTAAAGCTGTCATATCAATAATATAAAAAATATGGAATCATGAAGACAAAGAAAAAAATGAAACGGAAAATCAATTTCACAAAACTATATTGAAAAAACACAATTAAATGCTATAAACAACTTTTTA